TTTTTTTCTTTCTTTCGGAGACAGGGTTTCTCTGTATTGTTTTGGAGGCTGTCCTGGAACTCACTCTGTAGATCAGGCTGGCCTTGAACTCACAGAGATCCACCTGCCTCTGCCTCCCCAGTGCTGGGATTAAAGGCATGCACCACCAACGCCCAGTGGTAGACCATTCTTTTTTTTTTTTATTTTCCAGTTTAAATTTAGATAAGAAACGAGGTTGCTTCACAAGTCAGTTCCAGGTCCCTCTCCCATTCCCTCCCCTCCTCCCGTGCCCTCCCCCAATCCCCCCCCCCCGTTATCCCCTCATTCCCCCAGGGAGGGTGAGGCCCTCCATGGGGGTGTCCATAGTCTGGGTAGACCATTCTTGACCTTTAGGAATTTGGGGAAAATTTTGCTGATTCCTTGTTAACTGTATGCTAGCTACCTCTTTCCAGTTTAATGCCCAAAGCTACAGTTTGCACTCCATCTTTCCTGGAAAGGTGTTCTTACCCTTTGTAATTTGGTTCCTAACATACTGTGGAAGAGTTCAGAATCTTAGGTCTCTCAGAATCTTTTCTCTTCGCTGGCCTAAGAACCATATTCTCTTTTAAAGTCATGTTTTAGAAACAGCTGGTTTTTCTACTCAAGTCTTCAGCTGGAAAGAGATGCAGAAACTAAGTTACTTCTAAAAATGCCATAACCGTTTCATCAAACACATGTCAGGTCATGTTGTGAGATGTTTCTGGTAGAACCTTAGACTGCAACAGTACATTTCATGCGTTTCTTTTCTCTGTAGTGTTACAGTCAGATGGAATCTAACACCACACTATTCAGTGGACCGTTCTCTTGAGTGGCAGGAATGTGCTCTTATTACTGATGGCCTCATATAAACATCAGTGCAGGGTCCTGGTTGAGGAGGACTCCCAGTTATGTGGCCAAATAGTTACCAGCTGGCTGATGATTCAGATTAGGCAAGTTGTCTGTAGCAAGTTTTCATTACTTTTTAAAGACAGCTTAGTTTATCAGTTTGGGCAGTTGTGTGGTGTTTTGTATGCATCCCAAGTTTCCCCTTTGTGAGTTCTTCCTTTGCTGAGAAGATGAACCATTGCCTCTGGTTATCACTCTGGTATTCCTTTCACAGCATCTGTTTAGCTACTGCCCAAGTGTACCCCAACACAATGCCTAGCCAGAGCAACCCCAGTCTTGAGTCTAAGTCTGAGCATGTCCTCATGGTCTGCAATTTGGTTCTCTGTGCTCAGAAATGTCTTGGTAAAGAACTCTTGCCGTGGCATTGTTAGGGTAGTCCAAGAGTTAGGGATTTGGGAGAGGGGGCCTATTGTCCAAAAGGCAACTTACAACATCCAGTTGCTAACGTTTCAGAAATCAGTCTTCAAACTGCTTGTGACTGCTTAGTGAAAAAGAAATCAAAAGAGGAACGTGGGCTCTTAAACGAACAGATAAACTGAAAGCAACAGGTGCTGTTCTCACCCTTCTTGCTGCACGGCTGACACAAGCCAACAGGTAAACCCAGTTAGTAAATTCAGTTAGCTGTCTCCTTTCTCACACATGTATCTGGAATCTTAGGTCCCACCAACAGCCTTTAACTGACCCAAAGTTGAAAACCACCAGAAATAGACTGATTATTTCTTCTTCTACTGGTCCAAGGGAGTGAAATGCAGTTTTCATTTGTGTCCACTGCAGTAAAAGCCTCAGCAAAAAGGCAGAGACAGCATGTGACTGTCCCCCCTCTTTTGTCTGTCTTTGGCCCATATTATAAAGCTCTGCTCTCCTCCCCTGTTCTGGCTTCATTAAAAGCCCCCCCCCAGTTTCCCTTCTGGTCTCTACTTCTTCATCTAAGATGTGCTGGGAAAAGCACTAATGTTAGTCCAAGCCTTACTGGAGACAGAGATGCTGCTGTAGTATCAGTGCCAAAACTAACTGAAACCAAATTAATAGAAGGAGGACTGGGGGAAGGCTTGCCTTCCCAAGTCAACTTGTTCATACTTCCCTGGACGGTTGCTTCAGATGTTTAAGACAAGCTGTTCACCCATAGACCTCTTCTCCCTCAGAGGAAAAACCCCAGTGTCTTCTCATGTGTTTCCGGTGAGCAGTTTAAGGAAAAGAAAGTATACTGACCTGACCTTGGGTAGCTTCAAAATTGCTATTGGATTTCTAACTTTGGTCTACTGCTCTGCTTTCTAAATTTGAGATAGATGAGGATGATAATAATTACAGACCTGATACATTACTGCCATTTTTTATACCGAACCCCTTATTTTTAGAAAAAGATACTTGCGCATATAGGTAGAAGCCGCAGATAGTCCTACACACTTAAAAGAAGCCGATGATTTTCCCCTTCCTTCTGCTTCTTTCTTCAGCAGCTACCGCAATAGCTGCACAGCACACTGTGTCTTGTCCCTCATCTCTACAGAGTTTTGTTTCCTTCTAATCATTTTTTTATTGTTGGATGACTTGTCACCAAGTTAGTCTTTGCTGAGCCTTCTTGGAGGAGTTGCTGTGCTCCGGATATGATGATCAGTAGAGACTGTCAGCATGGCAGTCCCGAGATGCCTAGATTAGAAAGCACAGCGGGTATGTCTATGAGGACATTTCCAGAGAGGGTTAGATTATGAAGGCTCTCATATTATCCACGGTTTAACCTTAAGAGTCTATTGTAAAGTGGTGGGAACGGGAAAGCAGGGCCTGGGTGAAGGACGTGGGTCACTGAGGGTGTATCTTCAGGTATATCTTAAGCCAGTAAGATGGTTTGGTGGAGAAAGATGCTTTTATGCCTGATACTCTGAGCTTACTCTTTGGAACCCACAAGATAGAAGGAAAGCACCAACACATGCAAGTTGGTGCTTTTCTATGCATGCATGTGACTTTTCTATGAATGCCATGACACCCGTCCCCTTTAATAAATGAACGTCATCTAAAACAGAAAGTGCCTGCCTTGCTTGGCTTCTTCCTGTGTACATCCATCTTCTCAGCCACTCTGAATTCTGTTTCACCATGCATGACCTCTGTCGTGATGACCTGAAACCTCCAAAAGCACGAGCTAACCAAATCCTTCCTTAAGTTGTTCTCTGAAGTGTTTGCTCAAGGTAATGACAAAGTCTGACCATGTGGATATTGTCTAGTCTTGTGACCGTGCCTGTGGGCACTGTTGCTCTCTGCACTGTATGTGGTAGCCTTCCAGCTTGACACTAGTTTGTGGTTATCTCGGATTGCTCCCTTGTTTTGGTTGGTGACAGCCTCCTGTGGCTACTTGACAAGTGTGTGGGGTATCTTCATTTGCCGCTAATGTTTATGACATAGCTTAGCCAACTATAAACTGTGGGAACATCAGTTTTCCCGGGAATTTTAAGGCATTTTGCCATTGCCTTTAGAATTTTTTTTTCTGGAAGGAATTCTATTCACAGAAGAGTTAACAATGAAAAGCTGATGTCTGATACACTTTACCTAGCTTCTCCTGATGCTAACTAACATTTTGTATCACAATTATACATGTGTCAACACTAAGAAATTATTATCGGTACATCACTACTAACTGAAATACACTGTAAAGAAACTTTTTTAAATCTCTCCAGCTATTGATAGCTGGTGGAAGAGAGAAAATCAGTTTTCTCTAATGGAATGGTATGTCAGCCACACTCCAGGGCAAGTCCCAGGAGTAATTGGCTAACACAAATCAGGCTGTTTAGGTTTTTCTTTTATTTTCCAGCATAATATTTTATTGATTATTTAGAAATTTTATATAATATACCCCAGTCACACTTGCTTCTCATTCCTCCCAGGTCTGTCGTCTTACCTTCATGCCCCCCAAAAGATAAAAAGAAAAAAATGCCATATACTCATTGGAACATGATCAAACTCCCAGTGGCCTGTCCCTTAAAGATAACTGAGTCCTTTTGGCGCCGTTTAGTATTTTATTTTATTTGCAGGAGGGATTAGGGAATCCTGGGTTTGTATGCTGCAAAAGGAGTAGGGAGGCTATAGGCCTATTTGTGATTTTTTTTTTGAGACAGGGTTTTTGTACAGCTTTTCTGAAGCCTGTCCTGGAAATTGCTTTGTAGGCCAGGTTGGCCTTGAGCTCTCAGAGATCCATGCGCCTCTGCCTCCTGAGTGCTGGGCTTAAAGGGTTGCACCACCACCACCTGGCAATTGTTTTGTTTTTTAAAAGACATGAAAAAGCATAAAGTTTCATGTGTGTATGAGGGGGAGATTTGGGGGGGAGGAAAGCATATGATGACTTGGTCCCCATTTGGTGGAACTGTGTGGGAAGAATTAGGAGGTGTAGCCTTATTGGAGGAGGTTTATCACTCAGAACATGCCTTGAGGTGACACACACACACCATTCCTAGTGTGTCCGCTCTGTCTGCTACTTGTAGATGAGGATGCAAGCTCTCAGCTGCTCTTGCTGTGCCTTTGCTACACGATCAAAGACGAGCCCTTTGAAACTGTAAACCCAATTAAATACTGCTTTCTTTGTAAGCTGCCTTCATCGTGGTGTTTTGTCACAGCAATAGAAAAATAACATTACATCAACATTTCAAGAACTGTCTTAACTACATTAAAAAGCTTCCTTTTCCAATGCAGAGGAGGATGGGGCATTGGCATACAGGAGAAAAGTAATTAAGTCAACAAACAGGAGAGGGAAGAGGGCTTTGGGGGAAGCTAGGCTTTGTCTTAGGTGTGCTGACATATTATTTTGGGACAGTACTTAGAATGCCACTTCCTATCTCTGTAAAATATGGCGATTATATTTGTTTCATTTGATTGCAAGGAGGATGAAGCGAGACTATTTCAGCTAGGACCTGTAGAGTATCCAGTGCACAGAATAGTCTCAATAAATGTTGATCTGCCCCCTTGGGCACTTCAACCATGTAACTGCAGACACTGTGGAGGGAAAGTATTTGTTTTATGGAAAGTGTGCTGTGTCCTCCTATTGAGTGGCAGGAATATGGGGACTGTATTTCCTTACTGATACGTCTGAAACTCTTTTTCTCCTTGTCTCAATGCAGGGCTTACCACCCAAACAATGGAAGGCAGACATTAGCCACCTGAGTTGCCCAGAGCCTACCTTGTTCACCTTCTCATCTCCCGTGTCTCCGGCCCTGCGTGAGCGATCGTTGAGAGAGCTGTGGCTGCCCAGCTTCCAGCAGTCTAAGAGGGAAGCCCAAGCACTAAGGTGGCTGCTGGATAGGAATCAGAATTTTTCATCTGAATACTTTTGGGGCCTAGTCTTTAAGGACTGATTTTAAAAGGTAATAGGATGACAGAATTAGATTAATTTTCTTGGAGGCCTTAATATTTGGAGATAATAGCTATTCCGTTGAGTATCCTTTAGAATAAGAACTAATTGCAACAGTTCTCACAAAGAGCTCTGTCAATTAATATCTGTAAATTACTTTTAGAGGTTGCCTCTATATTTTTATACTAAAACAATTGACTTTTTCAAGTGGACACTGGTTGCCTTCAGTTTATGTGTTTGGACGCATGTATGCTCTGTCTTCTGTGGAAGCTGACCCTAAGGTCAAGTGCTTTCGTAGCTGCAGCTCTAGCTGTGGATGGATACTCACCTCCCTGTCAGCTGCTCATTGGTATTTGGCAAGTCCAGTTTGGTGATGCTGAGAATGAGTGAAACACATTAGAACTTGGCAATGAGCGATCCCATCTGTTGTTCTGAGCGATGTGAGTGAGTAAGAAAAGCCATGTCAGGCGTCTCTGTTCTCCAAAGGACACATGCATGTCTTTCTTCGTCTCTACACCCCCAAGCCGCCTCACTCTGAAGGGGCTCTAGCTGGTCCAAGCATAACAAACACGTCTCTGGAGACCTTGCCCTTCCTCCATGCCCTCTCCTTGCTAAACTGTTAGATTGTTCCTAAAGCTGGCCTCCAAAGTCTGTTCCCTTATTTGGCCACTTCTGCCCCTGAAGATGACCACCAATGTCCAGCTATCAAAGTTAAAGTCCAGCAATCAAAAGCCCCCCTTTGGCTACCCTAATTAACATGCCCAATCAAAATTAAACACCTCATCCTAACACGGTTTTCCCTTTTTTTCTTTATAAACTGCCTTTTGCCTATCCAGAGGCAAATATCCCTCCCCCCTCTTTGTTCCTTTCCCTTCCCCTGTTCTCTATCTCCTGTCTTTGTCCCTTTCCCCTGCTCTTTGTCCTGGGGCAAATAAATCTCCTTTGTACTGAGAACCTGCCTGGTCTTGGGGTGTCTTGTGCTGACTTTGATGTCCTTTCAACTAGCCTAGTCTACATTCTGATGACCTGTGGCTTCCTCCCATTTCTCTCAGAAGTAGAATTTTCTATAAAGACATGACTCCTCCTAGTTTTTCCGTTAGTGTGATGTCACTAACTGTCTCTTATTACTGTGGAGCAGAAGAGGAAGAATTGTCAGATTCATGGTGAACAGCCGTTTGCTTTGGCCAAGGTGAGGGAGGTGAATGCCCTGGGCTCTCCTTTGGGTTCAAGCTGATCATCATTAGGATGACGTAACAGCCTCTCATCAGACTTGCAGATGAGCATTTTCTGGTTTCTAATGCTGTCAGAGAAGGTTCAGCCACATTGTTTGGCTACCTACCAGCCCTCTGAAAACAAGAAGAAACAACATTGGCCTTCATTCCAGTTAGATGGGAAGAGACGTCTGGTCAACACAAAGCCTGTTGGTAGCTGTTGTGTTCACCTTTGTGTTCTTAACTCCAGCAGTGGCAGCCAGTCTGTAAGAAATGAGGATTAAAAACAGCACACTGGTGATGAGCGGTAGGATCACCTTGCTGGTGGGAGAATCTGTCTGTGGAGAGGGTCTCCTCAGCCTGTCATTAATTCAGCATGATTTTAGGCAAGCCTCTACCTCCCTAGGTCTTGGGTCTTATACCTTAAGAAGTGATTGAGATGATATTTGAGGTTGTAACAGTCTTTAATTCCTCAGGAAATTTTAAGATGTTTAATTTTGTAGGTGCTTTTACTAAAATGGGAATAAACTGGCTTAGATGTGTTTTTCAAGAGAAGGTTATTCTTTGGGGAGGAGCATATGTATTTTACATATTATATGGATTATTGGAAATGGAGGGGAGTATTACTATTATTATTATTAATCTAATAATATCAAAGCAGTAGAGGTTTGAAAGGGGGTTGTTGGTGCAAGTTCAGGCTTTAAACTGTGTACTGAATGAAGTGGGATTCTTTTGGAATCCTCAAAATGGTCTGCAAAAGCATTTATGCCTTTGACAAAATAATGTAGTAGCTTTACCTTCTCTCCATAAATGTTTAAAACAAATGCTTAGTTCATCATGTGTTTCTTAAATCTCAATATGTCAGGCAATTAACATTTTTGAGAATCTCAAATACGATGAATATGACCAATTCAAAAAATGATGAGTGATTCTCCCCCAACCTCTCTCAGTGTCACTGCAATGTGCACACCCCTAACTTATAAATCCAGTCAGTGCTGGTCATCTGTGCATGGGTGAAGGGCCTTGCACTGGCACACAGGAACACCGTCAGAGGCCACATACTCAAGTGTAAATAGCCTGGAGATCGTCTTTCCCACTATTGCGGGGATTTTGACTCACATGATCTTGTGAGAGTCTTGTTTAGGTAGCCCGGGCTGCTGTGAGTTCATCGTGTGATGGCAATGCCATGTGTAGAGGACATCATTTCTCAACACTTCTTCCCATCTTCTGGCTTTTGCTTTCTTTCTGTCCCACTTTCTCAATGTTTCCCTACCCTTGACTGGGGCAGGTGTTTGAGATAGATGTCCCATTTATGGCTGAGTACTTTAGCCTTCTGTTCTCAGCATGTTGTCCAGTTGTGCTTCTCTCCAGCGACTGCTGCCCACTGCAAAAAGAAGTTTCTGTGATTAAGGCTCTGTTACAGGTATAAACAAAATTTATTTCCTTTCTTAAAATAATTTTTTTCTAGAGTTCCGTACATGAGTGCATCATTTCCACCCATCTTTGTCTGTTCCCTAACTTCTTCCTTTCTTTATTCACTTTCAAATTCATGACTTATTTGATTATAATTATTAATGTTATACACACACACACACGTATATAAAACCTACTAAGCCATTTAGTGTTACTTGTATGTTCATGTGTTTAGGGCTGACCGTTTGCTATTGGACCACCTGTCAGGGCTCTTATACCTAGAGAATATGGATTCTTTCTTTCTCAGCAGCCACTGACTGCCAGTAGCTCTGTATCTAGGGATGGGCCCTTATGTAATTTCACCCATTTCCATTGACATGTTGACTGGTATGGTCTTTATGCAGGTCTACTTTAGGCAGCCATTCTGTTGAGATTTCATGGGTGCAGGATCTCTGTCATGTCTAGAAGACACTGTCATGGGTGCAGCTTCACTGTTGTGTCTAGAAGACGTGGTCAAGAGTACAGCATTCTTGTTCTATCTAGAAGACACTGTCTTACACCAGGTATCATGGCCCTCTGGTTCTTACTCTCTGTTTTGTATGGTTTTGTTTTTACTCTCTCTCATTTTACTTGAATTATCTTTCATCCAACATATTCTAATCTTGCTTTCCCCTCCTCTACCTCCTCCCAGATCTTCCTCATCTCCCCACCTACCCAGTTCTATGACCTTGCTCTAAAAAAACAAACAAAAAAACAGACACCTCCAACTCCCCCCCCAAAAAAACTGAAAACAAAATATACAAGCAAACCATCAACAAAACAAAAAAATGCCTAAACAAAAAAAGTACAAAAGCATCATTGAGTTTGTGTTGTGGGCCAAATACCCCTGGGCATGAGGCCTGCTTTGAAGTGTGGTTCTAGGCCCTGAGATACTGCTTTGGGGAAAGCTAATTTTTCCTTTGCTAGCAGTTTCAAATTAAGCACAGTTTCCTGGTTAGTGGGTGGGAGCCTGTTTATACTTCCCCTCCTCAGTGTTGTGTTGTAAATGTACCTGGACACCCCATGTTCACTTATTCTCTGTATCTTGACCACTTGTGGGTCTCTAGAGTAGCCTTATATGATGAGGTCCCCATAATGATGAGAGTTACCATTATCTGTGGCTGTAAGAATAAATGCTATACTACAGTTAAAAGATATATTGATTTAAGAAGAGGGTGGTAGTAAATTCTCCTCTTGGTTCTGTGAACTCTCCAGCCGTGGGTGGTTGGCATGAGTTCCTTAAGTCCAATTAGTTTTCATCAAGGCATAAATGTCACTATTGCATATTTCATGCCATCTTGTTCCATCATAGTTCTTTTTCCTGAGTTCCATGGTAAAATTTTGTCTAAACTTCATTGGAGTATATCTCTAAGAATTTTTATACCAAATAAAGTTTTTGATTATGTCATACCCTCCCCATTTGTGGACGATAGAGAAGAGGAAATTCCATGAGATTAAAAACTGGAGTAAAGTTAGGTACTCTGTCCCTAAAGCAAAATAATAGTACTGTGTTCACTCAGGTAAAAACCTTCTGAACTCAGATCTCTGTAACTGGAGAGTAGTAGTCTAGTGGTCAGACACCAAAGAAATATTTCTTTGTGCAGTGTATAGTAGTTAACACAGACACCTCACAACTGGCCAGAGTACAGAGACTGAGTGTCAGTGGAGGGCTCAGCTACAAAAGGGTCATGTACATCACACCCTTCCCCAAGGCTCAGGGACCATTGAGGAAGAGGATGCGGAAAGCTTGTAAGAGGCTGAGGTCAGGGAGGACTGGAGTGAAATGGTACCTTCTGGACATTACAGCACTGCTGCACTCATGAAATCACAGCAGCTATGCTTGCCAGGACAAGGTCAAGCCAGTCGCTCTAGCATGGAGTGGGAATGGATTCTTGAGCCCTGACCAGCAATCAAAGAGCTGTGGAGAGATGATGCATTCTAGGGAAGGGAGAGTCGTTTTTCTTCAATGGCTTGCCCCTGGTAGGTTAGCCATGCTCGTGTGGCTCATTCCACACCCAGGAATATTTGGAAAGCATTATTTAGATTCTGTGGGTTATTAAAAAATAAGGACATGACATTGTGGGGTATAGGACATCAGGGAAGATATTGGGAAGATATAGAGACAGGACTTGTGAGTAAATATTATCAAAGTACATTGTAATAGTTCTCAAAGAATTACCAAAAATACAATGGAATACATGTCAATGAAAATAAATGTGGTATGTGGTATTATGGAATTTTTGTGTACCCACAGATTTGAGACTTACATGCTTCAAGATTTATTTTTGTTCCATAGCCTATGTTTCTTCTGTCACTAGGCTTTCCCTAATAAGATGCCTTCTTGCTTCTGACAATTGCTGTTAATAGTGTGAGAAATGTCTCCCCATCTAACATGCTCTTGTCTGCTAATAAGAACTGCACTCTGAATGCCTAAGTGTACTTTGCCTACATTTGTGCTGTCATGCCATACTTGTCTTTACCTCGCTCTCTGTGAACTGCCTCACGGGGCCACAATAAGGAATGCCTATGCAACAGCCACTTTAGTGCCTCAGTATATTTTATCTAGATTATCCACAAGAACAAGGTTTCAAAGCAGCATGAGAAAGTGCAGAGAAAACCTACCAGAATTTTTATGAAGATGAACATTTTTACTAATGTTTGCAAGTAGTCTTCACTTCTGTCCCTGGAAATGGAGTCAACTTTGACTTTGGTCATGAAACAAATCTAAAGTTTAGAACTTAAATTCTTACCAGCTTACGGAGTAGTTTCTAGTAGCTGGAATATCCATCAGGGCCATTATTATTAGTAGCAACTGGATGCATAGTATGTTTCTCAGAAGAAAAACTGAAAATGAGTATCATTTTTCCAGTCATATATTATGCATTACGCATAAAAAAGCCAGATCAGTATCTGTGGAACATAGCATAGCACAGACCTGAGCTTGAAAAACCTTACATGGTATTATGTATTTTTCAAAGCCATTACAGTTTCTGCTAAATATATTCAGGGATCTCTTCTAGCCTTCCCATTCCCCAGTTCCAAGACACTTAACACACTTTGCGTCCACGTACAGCCTCACCCCACTTCTGATACCAAGTTCTGTCTTAGTTTCTCTTGGTTGTTTTATAGAATATCACAGACTTGGTGGCTTATGAATAACTAAAATTTACTTCTTATATTTTTGGAGGCTGGGAAATCAAGGTGCCAGTCCATTTGGTGTCTAGTCAGTGACTACTTGGTTCACAGATAGCAGTCTTCTTGTGATTCACATGGAAATACATGAGTGAGTTCTCTGAGGCTTATTTTATAGCAACACTGATCCACCTACATGCCCTACTTACTTCCCAAAGACCCTACATTTCTGTATATGTTTAAAAAAAAACAAAAAAACAGGGTCTCATTATGTATCCCTGGCTTGCCTAGAACTGTGTTTAAAGATTTGGCTGGCTTCAAATTCACAGAGATCTGACTGCCTCTGCCTTCCAAGTGCTGAGATTAAAGGTGTGCACCACCACACCTGGCAAATGCCTAATATTTGACATTAAAATTTTAGTATATGCAGTCCCTAGCACTAGTGTAGAGTAAGTTGACTACCGTAGGGCAGGATGGGCACAATTCTGCATAAGTAGTGTGTCTTGGAATCATCAAAGTATGTAGTATGAAAGCCCAAAGAAGAACAGTGTGATTAGTTTATGTTATGCATAGAAACTTTGCAGTCTTGAATATTTTATAAAATGTTCTTATAGTTCTTTAAATTTTTGTTTTTAAAATTTCTATTAGTGAATATCTTTACTACATATTGTATTATCAACATATATACACTGTATATACTATATAGTATAATAAACGTGTATAGTATAATACATATAGTAATAAATTATATTGCCAAAAATGTTGGAAAAAGTCAGGGGATACGGAATTATGCATTATGACATCAGAGTAAGAAAAATATAACCTGAGTGGATTCTCTCCAATGTGTTATCTTTATTATCTTGCTCAAGTTACTTGTCTTTCTACATATTCTACCATGTGCCTGCTGTGCTAGCTAACCTCGTGAGACAGTTGTAATGATTAAATAAGCAAATGTTCATACTTTATATTTTACATAAATGATGCTGTCTGTAGCCATTACTCTTTTGAGAAGACTGTGATTAACATTTGTCCAATACGACAGATTGACTAATGATGGTCTTAGGGGGATGCCCCTTTGTTCTTGTTTGCTATTAGATATGTATTTGCTTACTGCTGTGGAATAGGCATTGTGAGAGGCAATGTAATGATGTAAGACTGAGAGAAAGAAGGTGAAGGGTTCTGGGAGGGCTTTGGGATTTTATGTTGTTATTAAAACAGGGACTAGGAGGGCACAGAGATATCTCAGTGATGAGAGTGCTTGCTGCTTTTGCAGAGGACCCAAGTTCAATTCTCAGCACCCATGTTTGGCAGACTGTAATTCCAGCTCCAGGGAATTCAGTATCTTCTCCTGGACTCCAAGGACATCTCCACACATATCCATATCCTCCATACACTTCTACTCTTACACACACAAATGTACACACAAATAAAAATAAATCATAAAAATATGAACAAGCAGGGACTGAGGAATGCCCAGAGTATTCTTGGTAACCCCCATGGGATTTCTGATAGTTTTGTACACAGCACAAACCCTAATAAAATCTTCCTGCTTGATTGATGGGTACAGTTCAGACCTGAAACCCAAGGAGTGTCTTTTGTTGCTTTTCCATTACCTTGTCCTGAATTTTGGAACCAGACTGTTTAATGTACCTGGACCAAGAACGAGGACATAGAGATGGCTATAGGTCTGTAGAACTGGACCCCAATTACTTGTTCACAGAAGATCAATAGGGAATAGTAAAGAAGAGAAGCCCGATCAGTCTTATCTGAGCAGATCTGCCCTCTCCCGTGTTCCATGTGATGTGGGTTTGAGACTGTAGGTACAACACACAGGAATGAGCTTTTACACACAAGAGACTTCTCTACCCCTATCTGTGGCCCCATCAGTCCCCCAGCCTCTCCAACATTAACTTATTCCCTTAGCAGGGCTGGAGATAGGGCTTAATGGGAGATAGGTTTACAAGGGTCACAGTGTGAGCAGGAGCAGAGATGACTCTAAAGATTTTATCCTCTCGGAGCTGGAGAGATGGCTCAGTGGTCAAGAGCACTGGCTGCTTGCTCTTCCAGATTTCCTGAGTTCAATTCCTAGCAACCACGCTAACCATCTATAGTGGAATCTGATGCCCTCTTCTGGCATACAATTGTATATGCAGATAGAGTACTCATTCATAAAATAAATAAATCTGAAAAAAAAAAGGATTTTATCCTCTCAACACATTAGGCCACATAGCTTAATTATAACCAATCAGAGGTGAGTCCATCCCATTCCTGAACAAGAGAAACCTGGGCTTCCTGATTGTCTTCCTTTGTTCCTTTGTACTCCTTGGAACAGTGATCTGGAAGGTTCCTTCAGTCTGAGCCACTGAGGCTTCTGAAATGAGTCAGGACTGGATGGTGACGAATGCTTCTGGATATCAGGCCATAAGTGTGCCTTCCCTGTTACTTAACTTGCAAAGTGAGAACCACACCATCCAATGTAGAGTGTGAGAAGAAATTCTACAACCAGCCTACCCATGCTGTTAATAACATTCAAATTCTAATACCATAGACTTAATTCTTGAAACAATGATTGAGCTGATTAGCAGACTTGAAGACTGTGCCTGTAGTTGATGGGCTATTAAATGGTTTTGAGGCTGGGCATATTCCAAGAGCCTTTGAAATGAAGTCAAGTTGTTTTTCAAATACACAGAATAAACTCCTGAGTCTACTCAGACAAGGGGAGAAAGAACAGTTTTGTGGAAGAATGTCCTTGACAATAAAAAATGATAAGTTAAACCACTGTGTGTCCTTTTATTTTGTGGGACTGTTTTAGAAATTATGGGATGGGTGTAACATGAATAAATCAAAGACCCAGAGACAGATACTGGGGCTCAGGTTGAAGATCAGGGAAGCAAAACAGCTGGACACCAGCTCTCACCTTTAGCTCAGGCTGAATGGGCTGATCCATGCATGAGCAAGACCAAGTCTAAAACTACTGCCTCTCCTCAGTGTGGCTGGAGAATGAATGCTTCCTCCTGACTACTCTCTCCTGTCTTTCATACCCCTCTAGTGCTGGGATTAAAGGCGTGAGCTATAATTCTCTTTTAGACTGATTCACTCTTGTGTAGATCTCGGTGGCCTTGGACTCACAGAGATCTGTCTACTTCTTAATCCTGAGTCCTAGGATTAAAAGTGTATACCACCACCTGCTAGCTTCTGGCTACTGGGATTAAAGGTGTGTGCCTGGCTGAGGTAAGCTTTAATAAATCATAAATAGTAATATCACTAACAGATGGGTATATATTTGAATTTAATATATAAAGAATTTATTAGGTTAGGTTACCTTAAAACAGTAACAGCCAAATCACACCCAAGAAGCTGAAAACTGTAGGTGCTCAGCCCTGAGGCCAGGGACCTCAGTTGTGGGAGTGGTCCTGCAACAGCTGTATTTCCCCACAAGAGGCCAGCCACCCAATAGTTGCTCAGTCTGCAAGGTTGGGTACCTCTGCAGTCCCAGTCTGGCACCTAAAACCTTGGAGGTTCCTGGAGAGTTGCTGGTCGTTAGTCCACCAAGGCAGTCGGGCGCTACTGGATTTGGTAGCAGTGAAGGAATGAGCAGCAGCAACTGAAGTCAACTCACCAGGAGGGAAGTGAGGTGAGCAAAAGGCAGGGGGTCTTCTGCTGCCCCTTTCTGCATTGCTTCCAGAAGGTTCTGCTCATAATCAGGCGGCTTTTCACATGGAATTAAGGCAATCGTCGGGTGAGGCTTCCTACGAAGATGACTCTGTTTTGTGACAAGTTGACCTGAAAACCAACCATGGTGACAAAATTGGGAATGCTCATGAGAATGCTGCCAGCACTGGGGAGAGGGGTTACTCTGTAAATTGCTCATCACATAAGCCTGAGAACCTGAGTTTGGATCCCCACCACTCCCATAAAAAACATGGATGCTGTGTCGTGCCTATAATCTCAGTGCTGGGAGGTAGAGACAGGAGGATCTCTGGGCTTGCTGGCCAGCCGGTTTTAGTCACATCTGTGAGCTCCAGGTTCAGGGAGAGACACCGTTTAACAAAAACAAGGAGGCTATTATTGAAACCTCAGGCACGCATGTCCTTGTGCCTGTACATGCATACACACATGCATAGGCAAACATGCACAGGTGCACACACACATAGACTTGAAATAAAGACAGTTCTCTTACAAAGTGTAGCAGGCTCTGGGGACCTGTGTGATGGATTGTGAGCAGAGAGCTGCTGCTTTCCAGAGAACATCGTGTCTACTCGGAACGATGATCTGGAAAAAAACCCCGGCACAAATGCAACCTTGAGTTTTTGTCAGTTATTTTCTTGGCAACAAAGGGAGACTGCCACTTTTAAAAGACTGATTTTGGGTGAGTCAAAACGAAGCAAAACAGCCTTCCAGTGTAAACTGAAATTTTGGGAAACAAGTATCAACTTGCACTGAACCTGACAATTGCCCAGTACACACTTTCCTGAGAAGATGTGGGAGGGAATATTGTGTTTGACACAGAATGAAGTAAGATGATGGCATGGGGGGCTATTCTTCACTGTTGGTTTCTATAATTCTACAGTAGAGAGGGGTAATGTGGTGGAGAGAGAATTGTTCATTCGTTTGTCCGTTCATTCATTTTACTTGAAACATGCCTTAAGTGAGATTTCAACAATATGATAGAAATATGACATTGATGACTCACCATTCCAATTGCAGTACTCAGTGAACTGAGGCAGGAGGATCATAACATTAAGACCAATCGAGGTTACAACCTATCTCTAGACTCTGTCTCTCAAAACAAACAAGTAGCAAAACCAGATATTGATTATTTGAAAATGAGAGTAATGTAAGTAGCAGATATAGGTATGAATGAGGACAAGAAGGTTTTTAGTTTTTTTAAAATCTGGAAACAAAAATATAAACTAAGGAATAAGAAAATGTGTGTATGTATTAAAACAAGAAAATAATTAGTTTTGATAAACAGCCCAGAACTTAATAAAATTAAAAATTTTATTGAGCATACAAGAGTGAGTCTAATGGATGCAAACCATGTTCTTAATTCTAGTAGGGGATAAAAAATTACAGTGCTTCAGCAGAACATAAAACATCCAAGGAAGCTTTTATTTCTTTTCATAAGAGCCTGGTGAGATGAAATTTACCTCTGGGCCCCTACTACTCCACGTGAAATGTGATATAAGTGTGCAATATTTATGGAATGTATTAAATGGGCTATATTCATAACAAGAAGAGTTCAGTTCTACAGCTGGCATGTCTAGAAGTAGTCATTTGTGTGTCTTTTTTTTTCTCTTCACTCTTTACCCCAGTGTTTAGTCCTGTTGCCTGGGAGTTGCATAATTTTTGACAAGAACTCAGATTGGGGGGGGGTTGGAAATAACAGTGGTGAGTCCATGGAAGCAAACGGTGGTCCAGCCCGTGCACATCTGTAGAAAGGCCCTGGTGAATCAGTGTTTACTTAGCCGCCGCAGCTCCAAAGAGGCAAAGTTTTATCTTACAGACTGCATTCACTCAGATTCTACATAGTTCACACACCATTAATATGAAGACCCATTGGCCCTTGAGACAGTCTGCTGGCCTGAGAGATGGCAGGTGACTCAGATGAGCATCCCTAGGGATCAGGTTAATCACAGGTGTGATCTGCTTCCTGTTCTCCTGGATGCAACACCAGTCTTCAGTCAACCTGCAAGTGACAGAGTGCAAATGATGGCCATCTTACAGATGCTCTGTTGCACAGTACCAGAGATGGGGTAGGTATTGAAGAAGAGAGGAATATTTTGGCTTGTCATTCTGCTGCAGCGTGGAAGGGCGTGTCTGATGATGGCTTCTCACTGTTTGAGTCCCAGGATTGTGCAGGGCACTAGCTGTAAGAGATAGGGAAAATATATGTATTCTCTGTTCCTCATGGTTTCTACTCAATTTGGGAATTAACTCTTAAGAGTTTCACATTTTCTGGGCAAATGCTCTAACACAGATACATCCCCACACCCCATTTTCTTACAAAGCCACCAGTACTCAGTTATGGGGATCCCACCTGATGACTTTCCCTAAGTCTAATCCACTCCCGAAGGACTCACATCTAGACAGCATGAAGTTTCCATTCTTAATGTCAGCATTTTTGAGGAGACAAAGCATATTCAAATCATTGTAAAAAAATCAATAGCCTCTACTCTCAATTTCCCGTCACCATGATGCAGCAAGCCACAGAATGAGCAGTTGTTCTCTCAGAGCTCACTGCCATCAGCATCTCTCTCAAGGGGAGGAGATTGGAGTAGATGAAGGCAAACAAGAGTTCACTACATCAGTGACAGTGCCCCACTGGGCAGAACAGCAGCTCTGGAGACTTCTGGAGATGATGATGATAGAGACGACAAGTTCAATTCCTTCAGAAATGTCTATAGTCAATGCTATAGAGACTCCACAAGGTCAACTCTTTTAGAGAGAGGACATGACTGTCACATCCCTTTGAAGAGCGCACTATAGTCACCACACCTAGTGACTCTACAGTAAGCCTGTCAGGTGTGCTGTTTTCCATATTCATACACTGTAGGTCTTCACATTGACTTAAATCAAGTGCCAAAAATGTAACATGGTTTCCAGCCACAGAGAGCTTATTGAAGCTGGGCAGCTGACATGGATGACATGGTACATGTCATAGATGATTGCAGTCCTTAGTGGGGTGTCCTAGAGAAAGGTCAAGGTGAGCCTCTTGGGTAAAGTTACCAAATGATGAACAGAAGTGTCTAGTGCCTGCATATCCTTGATATCACAAACCTCTGGTGGTAAGAACTGTAGTTGGCTCCTGGCTAAACAACAATGAAGTGAATCTCTCAGACACCCAATTTCTGAACAGTTTCTGAGGCAGTTCTCAGAGGTTTACAAGGGAACCAAGCCTCAGGGACCCAATGATTGTTATTTGAGTAATGGTGTCAAGGGTATCCTTTTCATGTAGAGCCTCTCTATGTTGAAGTCCTTCATCTTTTAGTAACTCCCATGGAAAAATAGCATACAATCCTATCATTTAAGAACAGGTTCTTGGGCTGGAGAGATGGCTCAGAGGTTAAGAGCACTGACTGCCCTGCCAGAGGTCCTGAGTTCAATTCCCAGCAACCACATGGTGGCTCACAACCATTTGTAATGAGATCTGGTGTCCTCTTCTGGCGTGCAGATATACATGAAGGCAAGATGTTGTGTTCATAACAAATAAATCTTTAAAAAAAGAACAGGTTCTTGTGGTTTTTAAGGTTTGCCATGGAGAATGTCTTCCAAAGTTCAGATGTCATGACTGAGCCTGTTCCCATCAGGCACCCTGCAACACCAGTGCAAGCACCGGTGGGTATTTATAGCCTACTTACTTAAGATTCCAATTGAATATCACACATTGAATTAGATTTTATAGTCTGCTTTTTTAGTCTAGAACAATTTGGCTGCTTATATTGCCTTTTATAATGTTGACATTTATGAAGGGTCAAAATCATTTGTGTTGCAGAATATTCCACAGTCTAGAATTATCTAATTGTTTTTTCCTTATTAAATTCTTAGGCTCCTTCTCTTTTAAGTTTACTATTACTTAGAACATTTTTTTTTGGTTTTTACGAGACAGGGTTTCTCTGTATTGTTTCGGAGGCTATCGGTCCAGCCTGGCCTCGAACTCACAGAGATCCACCTGCTTCTGCCTCCTGAGTGCTGGGATTAAAGGCGTGTGCCACCACCGCCCGGCTACTTAGAACATCTTGATGAACTGAAGTGACCATACCATGACTGAGACC